GTGACGCCTCCAACCCGCCGTCCCAGGGGACTGGTGTGACAACGAGAAGAGGTCGTCGGGTGCGACCACCGTCCCGATACGACGACTTTGTGGCTGTTAGGGACTGACACCGCCCTTCATCCAGCTCCACATGTATTCACCCCTTGATGGACAAGGGTCTTTGCAGGACATATTGCTGCGTTGCGGAGATTCATGGGATTACCCGCAGACACATGACTGTGCAGGACATATTACTGCGTTGCGGACCCATGGGATTACCCGCAGACCAGTCCTTCTGCCGAACTTGACTATTAGTGGGCAGAACTGGACCAACCAGCCTGCAGAACTGAACAGTTCTATACAACTACATATATACCTAACGTTATATATTTTTCTTGTTGTTTCGTTATCCCATTATTGTTATTCGTCATTATATTCTGTAGTTAATCAGTCGTTCCAACAATGTTACATAGTTGATATATTCACCACGTTATGTATCGTTAACTTCAGGAGAAGTTAAGTTCTTCTACATAGGGGGGAAGCGTGTAAGGATACAATATACACCCCCACAAACTATTGGACCAGTCCGGTCAGAGGTCACGGACTGCACATGTTCTGACAAGAATACATTTCATATCCCAGCACTTCTCGCATCTTCATTCCTGGAGTGATTACTTATAAGTTCCAATATCTTCACCAACTGGACACTTATACTGGTATTGAGGAAATTTGAGCCAATGAATATTCTACCACATACATATCTCTTGCACATGGTTACATTGTCAAGTCTATATTTGACAATGGCCACATCAGAAGCAACCTTTTCCCAGTAATAAACAAGAATTATTTCCTTCTCTGAATCCGTACCAGGGGGTGAATGTATGGGTGGATTACTGCTATACGGCAAGTTGCAGCGTTGTTTCGCCCATGAGATATTTATTGCAGGAATAAAAGAAACATGAGGGCAGCAAAAGGCAAGTCCCCGCTGTGCTGATTATGCCATAAATCTCCAGCATGGATTGATACCTCGGCTGCTGCTTTAATTTCTAGTTTTTCATTCTTCCTGGTTTACAATGTCCCAAAGCTCCCAGATGTAATATTCTAGGCACATGGCAGTGTTTTATGACATTTGATTGCACATACACTGGAGACCTGTTTGTTTTGTAGCTACTGTAGATGAAAGGTATCTATTGTTGTTACATACCTTGTAAAAATAATGTAAAGCACTCTTTGTTAAGCTAAGTGTATAACAGCTGGAGTGAATGAGGATATGTACACACATTTAATAATGTCTAAGTGACTCATTTATTAAGTCTTGGTGGAAAAGTATGTATGTTTAGACCTATATATTTTCCTATGCGTGTCACAGGCCTGTGCAGATCTTTAGCATGAAGTATATGTTAATTGCACTCCTTTGCACTCCTTTGCTTATTTTGCGTCAGTACATTTCCACAAATCACAGTCTTAGTGGAGTCCGATTTTCTCCATTTCACTACACATCTCCCCTCAAGTTAGCACATAAACGTCAAAGTGCTTTGAACGTAATGAATTTGCAGTGCTAGGTTTTCATGAGCTACAAGTTACAAAATGTATGTTAAAAATAAATTGACATTACGAATTTACTATGTACATGTAAGTTGGCTGAAAGAACGGCTTCTTTGCATTCAGTAATTGCAGGTTTTATTACATTGTGTTATAACTATAACCCTGTCTGTATTAAACATTAATCCTGACGTTACTTTGAAACATGTAGAGCTTGCCAAGATTGTATACTCGTATTAGAAAACGGGGAACAAAGGACTTAGCTGTCGCAGTGAG